TCAGTTAAGAAACTCATTATAAAAGACTGTATGAAAGCATGACTAAAAGATACATAGAAACAATATAAAATGCCAAACTAAAATACCGATATTTCATTTGTCACTTAAATTTATTCACTGTTTTTATGTTGGACGTTGTATTGCTTCTTCTGTAAGAAGAAGTGTTTTATAGTGACACATATTAGCATTCGAATGAGGGATAATCTTAGCCTACCAGGACTACAACTTATGTACGGCCAAACTGCTGCTAGCGTTAGTTGAGGTCCAGTGACTGTTAAGAAAATTTGCAATAGATGAATCCAGGAGGACGCCACAGAACAACATGAGAGATCTCGATGGCCCTTTACTCTTGTGATGACTCCATGATGACAGACATCTTCTGTGAATTGCCATTAGGTCTTAGGCATTCTGGAAGGAGGCTGAAAATACCTTATAACTATTTTAGTTACTGTTTCCGTAACATTAACCATCTGTAAACTTTAGTCTTAAAGTGCTTCTTGATGAATCATTATTATTAGGCATCGTACAGCCACATGACTTCCTCGTGTTAAGAAACTGGTTGTGTTGTACAGCATCAAGTATCCCCATGTATTGTGTGACGTCGACTGTAACGCCAGAGATTGTCAGCAAGGCGATGAATGCTTCGGCTTCTCTTTACATTGGAGCGCAGCAATTAGCGCCTGAAACTGCACGTTCAGCGACGCACATAGACGCGCCAATGACGTGACTTCGTTTCTTCTGTATAATCCCGCTTTCTCTTGCATCATCATGAGGGCCATATTCATATATGGAGGCACCGATGGAAAGGAAAGTGGGAAGCTTTCATCTTCATCGTCACACCGACACAGCACTTTGATTGCTCAATAAGATGTTATTAGTTGCACATTCCGTTTAGCTCTAGCCCTCCCATCCGACACTTTGACCAGCTAACGTTACGTCACACAGCTTTTTTGCCTTTGGCTACGCCATAACTCAGAGGCTTTCACCATTCCGTCTATCATGAAAACAACGCAAACCTGCATGCTGGCCGCTCTGTTCTTCGTTTGTTCAATGCACATAGCGTCTTACAGCTGCTTTTACCCGCAGGTTCTTCAAATCTCTCTCGACCAGCACAAAATAGACCAACATAAAATTATCTTATTAAGATATGCCAGTTAGATTCTGACTTCATTTTTTAGTACAAATTATACCGATTATCACAAGTCAGATGTTAAAACTAAAGGCACAATTTTCAGACTTAATTACATTCGAAAATTTCGCAGCATACCTCTAAAACCTCATGACATAACTAGATAAGAAACATTTCCTTTATGTACCGATATATAAAATAGAGTGTTTAAAAACGTAACAATGAATTAAAATGCATATTTTAGAATGAATGGTATTTCAGTGATTATAGAAATGTGGACATCATGAAAAAAGAAAGTTAAACTATGTTAAACATTAAGAGAACTAAATTTATAATAAAAAGTTGAAAGATACCGTAATATATTATAAAATATGGAATGATTAAAAAAGCTCTTATATATAATTCATATCAGCATGAAGGAAAGTTACTTTCAATGAATAGGATCTAAGATTAGTGCATGCCCTTGGGTACCTTGCAGGTGACATTTTATCAGCTTCGTCCCTATTTTGAATGAAAGTCCCCCCCTCCCTCCGAGGACGGCTATGAGGATATCCCAGTCCTTTCTATCTACCATGAGCCTCTCGAAATGATTTTGGATCGGCAATATTTTAAATGCTCCCACACCGCAATGACAGACTTTCCTTAAAACGAACTGATAATAAATTCATATTTCCCATTAACAAATAAAATACACTCATATCCATAAATTAAGGATAATTCGGAGTCACGCGGAAATCGAACTCTAAAATAAATATATCACCTGTAAAATCACTACACACATCTTCAAGAATCATATGCAAACTTCAGGAAGTAACCAGATGACACCGATGGTACGTCACAATGACGAGAGTGTAAGAGAGTGATGTATAAGGAATACAGGCAAAGAAGTAAAAATGTTCGCAGGCGCTTTATAAACATTTCAGAGCAATAACCGAATGGTTATGACACAAAGGACGCATTTGGATAATTTTTTACGTGGTAGAATTATCGGCCGTCTGTAATGTGGGCGTACCCAACTGGAAGTATCAGACGAACTTGGAATTTCCCAGAGTGTCATCTCCAGGCTTTGGCAACGATTCCAAGATGACGGTAATGTGAGTAGACGTTACAGCACAGGTCGCCCCAGAGTTACAACGCCGAATGAGGACCGGTATTTGGCAGTTACTGCCAAAAGAAACAGGCGAAGCACAGCCTCAGACCTGTCTCGTCAGCTCTCTTCACCACTGGTACGACAATTTCAAGGCAGACTGTGTACAGACGCTTAGGGCAGATTGGTCTATATGCTCGTAGATCTGTCAGATGCGTTCCACTTACTGAAGCTCACTGTCGGCTGCGGTTAGCCTGGAGTAGAGAGCATGCATTGTGGACACCGCAACAGTGGACTTGTGTGATGTTTTCCGACGAGTCCAGGTTTAGCTTGCAGTCTTATTCTCGCCGGATTTTCATATGGAGAGCTCCAGGTACCCGTTACCTTCCACCAAGAAAACATCATTGAACGACACCGTTACGGTGGTGCAGGAGTGCTCGTTTGGGGTGGAATTATTCTGAGTTCCAGAACTGACTTGCATGTTCAAACTGGAACCATGACAAGCCAAATCTATCGGGACGTCATTCTGGAACAACATGTACGTTTGTTTCGGGGCGCCATGGGCGCATAATTTGTGTTTATGGATGACAACGCCCGTTCTCACCGTGCAAACATCCTAAGCGAATGCCTTCAGTCGGAGGATATCACCCGTATGGACTGGCCAGCATTCTTCCCGGACCTGAATCCAGTAGAGCACGTGTGGGGCATGCTTGGCCGACGAGTTGCAGCCCGTCAACCTCCTCCTACATGTCTACCGGAACTTCGGAAAGCATTGCTTTTTGAGTGGTGTAATATCCCCCAAGATCAGATTGATAATTTGATACTCAGCATGCCTAGGCGTTGTACGGACTGTATTGCATCGTCTGGGAGACATACAATGTATTAACAATCATACCAACCAACCATGTATTTGGTTTTTTTTTGTAAATAGGTTTTTCTTTTGTAATTTCTTCTTCCAGGGAGAAAAAAAATCGCTAATTTTTTTAATAATATCAAACATATAGCATCTTTTTTTGCTCTTTACCTTTTGTTTAATAAATAAGCTTTACAAATAAGTCAAATTTGTTTTGCTTCTAACTCTTCCTTTGCCTGATTTTGCATTATCCTTAATTTATGGACATGAGTGTACATTATGTTTTTGGCTGCTAAAACTTGAATCCAGATTTTTAAACTCGCAAATAACAAACTAAAATTTCATTCTGAGAAGCTTGAGAATTTAATAAAAAGTGAAAAAATATTTAAGTTCTGAAAGGTCTGGGAATAAAAATAGGAGCGAAGAAAACAGTTTTAACTCCGATCAAAAATTAGATACATATAATGTTGTACTTCTGTCCTATTTAATCTTCATTTCATCCATTCCTGTTTGTGCGAGTGTAAACATATATCTAACGGAACTAATATGATAACTGGTTGCGAGTATTCGTTCTGTAATGGTAAATACAGTTGAAATTCATCGCAAATATGCCTGGGGGGAAACTGCATGGACGATAATCCTGTTAGTAAACCGTTGCGGAAGTTAATCTAGTTACATGCTATACGTACGCCCCAATTTAGGCGAAAGCCTAATTGACAAGTGACTGTCTATTAAAAATGTTATTAAATTTATAGTTACCTATTACAGCTTATTATATGGTAACGTATATTCGTGGTTATTAGGTTTGGTGCGTCAAATCAAATAGTCAAATTTGAAATGTGCAAATAATTCATATATAATTATACGCTATTTAAATTGCAATTTGAATACTACAGGGAAACGAAAATTTAGCAGCTGTTAATACGGCAAACTAAATTTAGTCGGTTTGATAAACTATAATGGATATTCTAAGTATTTTTTAAGAGTGTCTTGAAAAAAAAAATAAACTATATATATTTAAAATCTTGAATACTAAAAACGTACACCTTCATTTAAAAATCATTCTCCCCCTGATTGCTGCTGATGAAGATATAATAAGCAATATTACAACTAGCGAACATATTTATAAGCCATTCCATTTAAATTGCATCCCCTTATTTCTTAAGACCGTTAAAATATGCAACAATTGGTTAAGTTCACCGCTTGATACCTAAAGAGAAAGGCGATCATTTGTGAGATTTAAAAAGAATTTGATGGTTATGACTATGACCATAACGGGCCAATCACTGTGTTTTGCCGAAAATCCAGACTCGGGTGTTTGAATATCCGCGCCTGTTAATGTCCCTGAGTATATTACGTAAATAACGCGTAAAGGAAATGGGGTGGCCATATCCCATTGAAATAATGTCGAAAAATGTACTTGTGTAACAATAACAGTTAAGTGCTAGTGCTTTCTAAACGTGCCTAGTCTTTGTAATGATCACTTTAGGCAATGTGTATTAAGATTGTGGTTGGGCATTCAGGAGGCCAATATTGCTAACGTTTCGCAATAAACTATAAAATTTTAGCACTTTGTCCTTCGTTTATATTGAACATAGCGAAATAAATGGCATTCAGTCATACCAATTTTGCGGTGTTGTGGGCATCATGATACTCCTCGGATCCTGGCAGTTTCTAACCCAACTTTCGTCAGTTCGGATCGTGAACAACTCTGCGTAATATGTGTGGTAAATGTTATTTAGGATACTATGGAGAAATAAATGCATTTCAAAAAGTGTTTTCAATTCAAGACTGAAAACATTTTTGACAGAATATATTGTAAATTTGAAAATGAAGAAAATTTTTTCTGCCTTTGCCGTTCAAAAATAGGTGGATTTTTTGCAGTGCAATGGAAAATCTTCAACTAATTACCTTTTTTCTTTCTTCTTTAGCATGGTAATTTGGCTATTCATTTAAATGCAGTTCATTTTCTTGAAAATTCTCTATCAACTTTTTATTTGGTTGACATGAAAACTTCAATATCATCGACAAGTTTTCCTTATGAAAAGGAGTTAATCCTGGTATATTTGGACACATTTGGAAACCAAGAGATTTCTACTGGAAATACAAGAATATTAACTTGAAAATGCTGATGATTAGCTGCTATTTCTGAAATCACTTTTAGTTTTTTAATAAGAGGAATAATTCAAAATTTTGGGCCTGCACTTTAAAAGAAGCTGAATGAAACGAAGAGCAAAGCTTCGTCAACTAAGTAAGTACAATTTGAATAAAATTTTACTTTTAATTGTGCGTTTTGGTAAACATATAAACCTTTTAGTTTGCAGTATTTACCAGATAGAGAAGTTGAAAATAATAAAATTTAGCTAGTAAGTATTATGCAGTGTTCCACTTTGCTGCATAATGTAACCCTGCAATTATTATTTTGTTTTCAGAAATAATTTTCAGGAAATTGAAATAATTTAAGAGTTTAATATAATCGGAATAATAAAAAATTTCCACAGATAAGAAAAATTAATTCGCTTTATTTAACTCATGAGCTCAGATTCAAATAGTCTGAAAACAATTACCATGTTGAAATAATTACTCTTTTGATACTGTATTCATTTAATATAATGCATTTTTTAACCTTCTAAATATAAATCTTTGTACATTTGGAGTTGCTGAATACAATAGGGTTGAAAAACGCATTGTTTTGCTTAATGTTCAATGGACGTCATTGATATTATAAGATAGCAAAAGTAAATACTTCATAAAACTGATACTTGTATGTGTATAAAGTTTTTGATTTTAGCATCTAATTGCTTTCATTTATTGTTGTTGCCATTATTATTACATTATGAATGCTTTTATTATTGATAATGTTTAGACTTTCGCTCAAAGGAACACAGGAAACACTAAAAATAAATTTTTCCTCCGTGTTCGTGAAACAATTTTAAATGCATTAAAATGAACTGAAGCTGTAATGTAAATAAAATGAAGATACTTCTTTAAAATAAATTGTAAATCTTTTACGTAAAGCACATTTGTAAATTCTGCATACTTCTTTAAAATAAATTGTAAATCTTTTACGTAAAGCACATTTGTAAACTCTGCTAAATAAAATTCCATGAAATATAAGACTGACAGTTCAATTGTTAATAGCACAGGCAAATTTCTTACAGTCATAAATTGTGCAACATTACCTTAAACATTCGAAACAATTCGATATCCAGAACCTAAAAGAACTCTGCTGTTTTCAACATAATTCTTTCCCGTGCAATTTGATTTTATAAGACAAATAGTTTTAGTTAAGACAAATAATTTGTATTTATCTTAGGAAGAGTTTATTACACGAGCAGGATTTTGCGCATAATAGGCTGATGAAAAGTATGCAGTGATTATCATTATAAGAATTAAATAAGCTTTTTTTTTTTTTTTTAAACCAAACTGAATGTGTGCAACGCATATACTTTATGCAAACACTAAGTTGTCTTCTGGATTTACTCCTGCATAACACTAATCTCCTGGTTAACGCTAATCTGCTGATATAAGGAAATTAGAGCAAAAGATTGCTTTTGCTTTAATTTTTCTTTATATCAGCAGATTAGCGTTATAGAGTAAAAAGAGTCATTTGCGCAGTCATGTCCAACTCCCTAACTATTTCAAAAATGAAAAAGAATTTATTAATAACATAAAGAGGGAGGAAATGCTTCATTTTAAGGAAAACTCATTCCGTTTTATATTTCCTTAGAAATACAGATAGTATCTACAACTTCCCACGTCTGTTTAGTGCAATGCAAAGAATAGTAACGGTTAATATTTTTTGAAACAGGAAAATTATTAGAGTTAATTTTCCGATAAAGTTTCCAAATACAGAGTGTTTTTAAGATCTGAATTCCTTGTTTTTATTTACAACTATTGTTGAATTGTCTAAAAAGTAGCAAATGCCACTTTTTGGGTACAATTCTATTCAATGAAAGCTAATTTCAGTATTTAGAGATAAGAGAGGAAATTCTTTTCGTAAAATAAGTGTAATCAAATCAAATTAATTGCACATAGAAAAACATTTTAATTTCCCTCTTTCCATTTCCGGAAATTCCGCAGAAAACTTGTATGTAAAAGAAATGTTGTGTGATAAATAAGGGCACGAAAATAGTAAAACAAAATTTCGCAAAAATTATCTGCGAAGCATGTATACAGTTCGATCAGATTTATGGCTCATATTTAGAAGATTTTACTTTAAGGCAAAGTGTCCTGTATTTTCTCAGGAAATATGTTTTAAAAAAAGTGTGTTTTCTTTAGATACGGCAGAAAAGTTATTTAAGGTAAGCTGAACATAAAATTTAGCTTCATTTTTATATAAACTAAAAATTGTGGCATTGGTAAATAGAAAATCTATTGCGTGAGTATTACGGAATAAATAATGATTTTAAAATAACATAAAAGAGAATATGATAGGTTTGTTAGACTCTGTTAGTTCAGTATTATGATATTGGGCCTTATAAAGAGACTGTGATAGTTCTCTTTGCTTTTGTTACAAAGCGTCACAGTCAAAACTTATTTAGTAGATAAATAGTACCAGTATTTGATAAATTGAATAAAATAATACAGTAAATTATCGAGTTTATTGAACTTATTTTAATCTGAAAAGGTCAATGAAACACTTCTCAGAATTACTAAATGTTCCTAAAGTTTTAACTGTTTCATGTAAACAAGTACGGCATATTGAATGTGAACAATTAAATTGCTCAGTTTTCTAAAAGTAAACTAAATTCTTCGTATTGAATTTTGAGATATATGTTAAACTTAATTAGGTATAATTTGTTATGCTGTCGCAAAATTTTACGTAACTTTATAAGGATATTTTTAGTCTACAGAGGCTGCTCGTACATTTGCTTAGACAACTTTCATTGCATTTACAGAATTATTTTGCCTAAACTTTTTGTGGCTTAAATGTTCCATTTGATAATCCTAATTCTTCACTTTCTTTCTACACTGTAATTTTTTTTAATATTAAAAAAGGTGTTTTATCCCATTCCTCTTGAAAAACTTTCCAAAGTCCAAGAAGGGTTGTAGGTCGACGTGTGGACAGTCCAAAAGAGCAAAACTCCGTGGCTGATACATCAAGAGATTTAGTATGGGTATAAGTGAAGGGTATGGTATTGATACAAGTTTCTTGTTTCATTTTTTCTACAAAATTAACAGTGGATTTTGACGTGCGACTGGTTGCTTTGTCTTGATGCAATTCTACTGATTGATGGCACTGTGGGTAAAGAGAAGGTATTTCATATTTGAAAACTGGATATAAAATATGTTCTTGATATTATGTAGGGTTGGACTTTGACAGTTTCTACGCTCTCTTTAATTTTTATTTGCCATCATGTCAAAAACATCTTAAATTCCTTTGAAAAACTTTCTTTAGATTCTTTGAACCATGTTCTAAGATTTTTTTCTTCTCTTTGGTGATAATAAATGAACTTCTTTTTGCAGTGGTCAACTAAATATACCAAAGATTCATCTGTTGTGACAACATTTTTTTACATTTTTGTCCGATTAATTATTTCTCGTATATAATTCTGCAGCGCGTCCTTGTTGACAATTTTATCTATCGTTGCTTTAGATACAGAAAAATCATTGCTTTCACAGCATTTTTTAACAACTAAATATGAATAATTTTCTTCGGAAAAAGTACATACGCAGCCTTTAGTCCATTGCTTCTTTAAAAGAGCTATTTTGCATGAAAACAAAATTGTCAAATAGCAGACGATAATTTACACTTTTAAGAATACAGCTGCAGTTAAAACATTTTTTTTCTAAGTAAGCGATTTTTTAATAGCATAGAAAAGTTGTGTAAAAAATGTGCGAACAGCCACAGTAGTTGTAAAGAAAAGTGATAATGGGGCTGTTAAAAAAATTACAAAGTAAAATGTCTCGTCAAGTCTAATTTCAATGATTTTTAAAAATTTTGTACTAGAATATATTGAAAATATAAAAACTCACAATTGTAGATCTTGCCGTTTTCAATTACTGCGAATTTGTTTTATAAATAATGTCATTATGATAAGGTAGATCCCATGTAAAAGAAAAAAAAAAGCAGTAAAGAACAGTACAAGTTTTAGGTGAAAACTGTTCATTTTAAATTGCTTATTTTTGGAAACTTTTCCTTGAGCTAAAGCAACATCGTATTTTAAATAGTGTGAAGCGTGTGTTTCCTGGATACTTTTTAATCGCAGTTCCTTGATTAATTACACAGATTAACAATAATTTGTTAAAAGAGAAAATGCTGGTGGCTTACCTATTTTGTGCTGCTGTTTTCGTCAATGAGTTTCTCATGATTTCTTCGTTAGACTCCTAGTTTTTGTAACAGAAACTTAAACCGATGCAAATGATTTAAGTCAGAGGTTAATCTGGCTGTTTCTAGTAAAACTGGCTTAAATCTGGCTGTTTCTAGCAAAGCTGGCTTCTTTATCTACAACCATAATTTTTCAGAAAATTTCGTTGAATTTTTGACTTTCGGGTTAAAGCATTGAAAGCTTAAAAATAAAATACAAAATTGCATAATTTTCATACAAATTAGATAGAGTTAGTTTTTAAATAATTTATTTTCTACAGAAAACAGTTTTAAATTTTAAATGATTTTGACTCATTGCTTGCAGCTTTAGAACATTGACATAAATTTGAAAAAATTAGATTGTTCATAGATTCCTAGAAAAGTTTAAAAGAAGATTTACTTCTTAAGAGAAATGAGTATCCATCGTTCCCACTTGCTTCTATTGTACATATGAATCTTGTGAAAATGTGATATTTCTATTCACCAGTATGAATTACAAAAAGCACTTTTGGGGTATATCTGTGGAGATCTGGTTGTAATAGCTTTACTCTTTGGATTAACTCTTGGGTACATATGCTTCATTGTATGCTTTGGTTTTAGCTTTTAACAAATCAGGCCCACAAATATATAGGAAATTTTATGTAAAACTATGGAAAAAAAAAAAAAAAATCGAAATTTAATAGTCTTCAATGTTGTGGAAGAAAAAGCAATTTGCCTTCCCGGTGACCTTTAGAAAGGATAAGAGAAGGAAGAAGCAGAGATTATTTATAACGCCTACTCTTGGTAACGGCGGATTATATGATTCAGATTTTTACAGGACTTTCGAAAGAGATAAATAATGAAAGAAAAGTTCCATTTGAAAATTCATGCAGACATTTAATCACTTTAACCATTGGGTCATTCACCCATACTTTGAATACTGTAAGAAAATAAAATCCAC